ATCAGTACCAACTTCTGGAGGCAAGTCGACCCCCACCATTTCTAATTCCAGGCACCGTTTCCGGCCAAAACGCAAGCCCAAACCCCAGCCCGTTGGTAATTCTCTCAGTCTCTTGGCTGCTTTCCAGCTCAATGCGTCTGGCCATAGAAAATTTGTTGATGTCTTGCTCAATGGCCATGCAGTTCGTCTACAGCTGGACACTGCCTCAGATATCACCATCATCTCTAAGAGACTCTGGCAGTCCCTTGGCAACCCAACGATGCAGCAGACTTCCCAGTCCGCCACAAGCGCGTGCGGTGGTCTCGTACAGCTAATTGGGCAGATGCAATGCTGTAAGTCCTTCCGCGGTACCAGCATCACCGCGATCTGCTACATCACCAAGTCTGATCTAAACCTACTTGGTCTCGACTGGATTGAAAAACTTGGGTTGGCCGATATGCCGCTCCGCATTGTTTGCAGTCAGGTGCAGATTCCCGCTGTGCTTGCAGACCAAGCCAAGGACATTCTCCAACGCTTTGCCTCAGTGTTCCAAGACGGCCTGGGTCGTTGCACATACACTCAAGCCGTGCTACATCTGTCTCCTGAAAGTCAACCAGTCTTCCGTCCAAAGCGACCAGTCCCATATACAGCCCTACCACTTCTCGAGGCCGAACTGAAACGTCTAGAGGAACTGGGAGTTCTGGTTCCTGTATCCTACTCCGCCTGGGCCGCTCCAGTCGTTGTGGTTAAGAAGCCCAATGGCTCGGTTCGTATTTGTGCTGACTTCTCCACTGGTCTCAATGCCGCGCTGACGCCGAACTGCTATCCATTACCGGTTCCGACTGATCTTTTCACCCTGCTGAATGGTGGCACTTGCTTTGCCAAGTTGGATCTCGCTGATGCGTATCTGCAGCTCGAGGTCGCCACAGAGTCGCGCGAATTGTTGACCACCAACACCCACCGCGGTCTTTTCCAATACACCAGGCTGCCCTTTGGTGTCAAGACCGCCCCGGCCCTATTCCAACAAACGATGAACGCAATGCTCTCCGGCATCCCTGGCACAGCTGGGTACCTGGACGACATCATCATCGTGGGTCGCTCCCCTGGCGAGCTGCAAGACCGAGTGTACGCAGTACTCGAACGCGTGCAGTAATATGGCTTTCGCCTATCGACTCCCTCAGCAACCCCCAGTAAGCCTAAGCATGTGTCTAAGTCAAAGGCAAATCCAATTGTTGTCTCAGCCACTCGGACACCCAATAAATCCATCACCATTATAAAATCTTTTCCTCCACAATCGGCTAACAGTGCCTCAAATACCCCGACTCAAAACGTAGCGGGTTCGCAACTGCCCCCCAGCCCTCATATCAAGGCAGTTAGGCCGAATATGCCGATTTTCCCACCGTTTAATTGACCTCTTGTTCCAATGGAAGCAATGCGTTTCCCACCCCCTAACTTGTTTCCTCCACGGCCGTTTTACCAATTTATTCCTCATGAAAATGTCCATACTGAATCAGTTAATTCATCCGATCCTCAGTTTCGTCCCGGCGGGAATACGTTGCAGTATCTGCCCAGCGGATTTCCAGGTGAAAATAAGTTACCTAACAATAGTTACCAGTTTACCTGCCCGTAATTCCCTCCCCCAAGTCCTACCCCTTTTTATCCACGTCAGAATTTTTGGATGCCACAAAATTTTTTGCAAAACCGGATGGTTGCATCCGGACCGTTTGCTCCGTGGGCGACCCAGAACTGGACGATGTAGCCCACCTCCCTCAAAAACTAACAGCCTTTCCCTTCAAACTTTTTGTTTTAAATGCCAGATCCTTGCTTAATCAGATGCCTTTGCTTCAGACACAGGTGTTCGTCCATTGTCCTGATATTGTTTTAGTAACTGAGACGTGGGCATCAGCCTCAGTAGCTGACTCCGAACTCTCTCTTCTAGGCTACAATTGCATCCGAAATGATCGTCAAGATAGCCGTGGTGGGGGCAGCTGCGTCTACGTTAAGCAAACACTTACATTTTTGCCGTTGGACCTCCCGCACGTTTCCGCAGTAGAAGGCAGCTGTTGGATCCAGGTTGCACTAAAAAATAAGTTCTCCTTACTCATTGGCTGCGTCTATCGCCCTCCCAACGCCAATGACAATTTTGATTGTTTTCTCTCACAGGCATTTCATGCTGCGGCCGACTTAAACTTTAAGTATCAATTAATTGCGGGTGACTTTAATCTCCCTGAAGTCCGCTGGTCTCCGCCTTCAGGCCCCAGAAGGTTCGATGACTTTCTTGAGGCTGTGGATGTCGGGATGTGGACTCAGGTTGTTGATTTTCCCACCCGATGCTCAAGTATACTTGACTTAATTTTCTGTAGAGGCTGTTTGCCATCGTCAGTGTCATCCCTAGGCCCACTCGAGGGCTCAGACCATGACATAGTTGTTTCAACGTTGGAATTCGAGGCTGACGAAATATCGTCCCAAAAGTATAACTTTTTCTGCGATTTCCGATCCACTCGCTCAACCGAATTATTTACACACCTTAATTCCTACGACTGGACTGAGTTCTTCCTTAGTTCGAATGTAAATGTTTGCACTGCAAAACTGTACGAAATTTTGGGTCCGCTTATTTCTCGTTTTGTCCCCCGTAAGAAAATTATTAATGTTGGGGATGAGATTTTCCTACCTTTACCCTTTCGTCGCAGATTGCGCAGGCTTTATCGTCGTTTCCATCTGCAGAACGATGTTTCTGTTCTGCCCTTGATTTGTGATATTTTTGATCGAGCTAAGAGATTGTCTGAATAAAAACAGCTAGCCGAAGAGGTCCACTTTACCGAAAACCATTCGTTAAGTGTCTCGAAACTTTTCTCTAGAAAAATACGAACTCAGAGAAAGACGCAGTATCCCATCCTTCGAGACGATCTCGGAAATCCCATAGTTGATGCCCAGTTAACCGCGGATAGCTTCAATGATTTCCTGTCCAAAACGTTTATTGAAGACTCGACCACTCCGCTTCCGGCCATCCAGTCATTGACCGGGGCTGTTCTAGAAACTATAACTTTCACTCTGTGGGATGTGACTGTTGCGATTCGGCGTTTTCGTCAATCTTATAGTCCAGGCCCTGATGGTGTCCCAGTAAGCATTTTAAAAGCCGATGCAAACACGATCTTACCATCCCTCTTATGCTAGATATTTAATCTTGCTCTTGAAAGTGAAACTTACCCTACCTTGTGGAAGGAATCACACATTTGGCCCATTCCTAAGCACGGCAAATCTACATCATTTGATGACTTTCGGCCAATAAACACACTCCCCGCAGTTTCGAAGATCTTAGAGACATTGATCAAAGATAAGATGATGTGAAACTTAACAGTGAATAACTTACTGAGTGTTCCTCAGCATGGATTCCTCAAAGCTCGATCTTGTGACACCTGTCAACTCTCTTTCTTTGACTATGTTCTCCAATCTAGGGACCATGGTTTTGCTCTTTACACAGTATATTTCGATTTCACTAAGGCTTTTGACCGTGTTGACCATGCTCTTCTCCTATTTAAATTGTCCTCTTTCGGAATAGGTGGCAAACTTTTGAATTTTATATCCTCTTATTTGGGCACTCACACACAACGAGTTAAGATTTCCAATACCATCTCCTAGCCCACACGTGTGAGGAGAAGAGTCATTCAGGGTAGTGTACTCGGCCCGCTTTTATTTTGCCTTTTCGTTAATGATGTACCCGATTTATTTCAGAATGGTAAGCCTTTCATGTATGCCGATGATCTTAAAGTTGCATATCGATATAAGCCAGCAGATCATGACATCGTGCTTGAGCTCCTAAAGAGCGATCTACAGGCTTTCGCCCAGTGGTGCCGCACATGGCACCTTTCTCTTTCGTGGCATAAGTGCTCAGTCATGGTGGTTGGCGACGACCGCCAACCTCAACTAAGTATTGAAGGTAACGCAATAAATTTGCCAGGGGTTATAAAGGATTTGGGCGTATCATACTCCAAGAGTCTCAATCTCTCGGAGCACTGTGCCTTGATAGTCTTCAAAGCACGTAGAACGACCGGGTTTATCCTCCGAAATTTTAAAACTAGGGACATTAGAATGCGCCTTTTCAACATGTACGTTTGACCTGGTCTGGAATACTGTTCGTTTTCATTTAGCCTCATGCGTGCTACTGAGCGGAAGAAAATAGAATCCATTCAACACTTTTTACCAAGAGAATTTTAACCCCGGAACACCGACATTTGTCTTACCAAGAACGTTGCCGGCTTACAGGCCTCGATCCTTTATGGTTCCGTAGATTACAAAAGGGACTATTTTTGCTATTTGAACTCTTATATAATCACACATTTTACCCACTCACCTCTTTAAGACATCATATCCACCCACGGCGTAACAGTCACCGTGAGGTCTTTTTATTTCTTCCTCTGGCACGTACTGTTAAATATCGTCGGTTCTTTTCTGTAAATGAAATTGCTATTTGGAATAAACTACCCATGAGTGTGAAAACTCTGCAAAATTATCCTTTATTTAAGAGAGCTATTACTCGATTTTTGCATTCAGAAAAGCTCCCACAAATTTTGGGTGCTGAAAACTCTGATCGACTGTACCGTAGCGATGGCGTATGTGGTCTCTGAACACTATGGCCGGACTCAGCAGCTGTTCCTCAACGCCTCTTCTTTGACTATCCCCAACTTCATGAAAGGAATTTGACGTCCGATGATCTCCGATACCGTGCAACCTCCCCCCTTCTTGACGGTCGATATTCTCCCACCGCCGGCAGTTTTTTCTCCTGAGCCCTCCAAACCACAAAAACCACCATCAACTATATTTTTATCCCTTAAACTCAGGAGTTTTTTTAACTGCCGGTCGGATTTATGTTTAATCTCTTCCCTTGACAATGCCTGTAAACTGGCATTAAATAAAATTTATTTAAGTACCAATTCTTCCTCGACTCCATCAAGTACCTTGGATTCGTTTTTGACGTCACTGGTCGCCATCCATATCCTGAAAACATTCGGGCCATCCAACGGATGCCTGCACCCAAGAATGTATCGCAACTTCGTTCGTTCCTTGGCCTGATCAGTTACTATAGCGCCTTCCTACCATCGCTGCATGACATACGGGCCCCGCTCAATCGTCTGTTGCAGAGGGATGCTCCCTGGTGCTGGTCTCCCGACTGTGAAAAGGCCTTCGCTCAGCTAAAGTCGATGCTGAGTTCAGATCTGCTGCTCACGCACTACGACCCGACGCTGCCGATCGTTGTTGCTGCAGATGCTTCCAATCACGTAGTTGGTGCCGTCATCTCACATACTTTTCCTGATGGGTCTGAAAAGGCGATCATGCATGCATCTCGCACGCTAACCCCTGCGGAGAAGAACTATGGGCAAATAGAGAAAGAGGCTCTAGCCCTCGTGTTTGCCGTCAAGAAATTTAACAAACTGTTGTACGGTCGCCACTTCACGCTGTTGACGGATCACAAACCATTGCTGTCAATCTTCGGTTCGAAGAAAGGCATTCCCGTCTACTCAGCCGGCCGACTTCAGCGATGGGCAACCATCCTTCTTGGCTACGATTTCGACATTCGCTACTGTCGTACTACAGACTTTGGTCAGGCTGACGCCCTTTCTCGCCTCATCAGCACTCAGCAGGAACCGGAAGAAGATACCGTGAATGCAGCTATTTCGATTGAGGACGATGTGTGCCGTCAGCTATCAGACGCCATACGAGGTATCCCTGTCACTGCCGCGGACAGCCGACGTGCTACTGAACAGGATCCTATCCTCCGCCAGGCCATCACCTACGTGCTGACCTGCTGGCCAACCACTGCTCTCGCTGGCGATCTTCGCCAGCTCTTCCTCCGCCGAGCATCGCTATCTGCAGTTGACTCCTGCCTCATGTTTGCAGACCGTGTGGTGATCCCATCTTCCCTCCGACCCACTGTACTACGCCAGTTCCATGCGGCTCATCCTGGTACCAGCCGAATGAAGTCTATTGTTCGCAGTTTCGCCTTCTGGCCGGGTATCGACGGCGACATCAACGACCTAGTTCGATGCTGTTCTCGATGTCAGCAAGCTGCCAAGATGCCCCATCGTCAACCGCCAGTACCCTGGGAACCACCAGAGAGGCCTTGGTCACGCGTACACATCGACTTCGCTGGCCCACTTAACGGAGTCTCCTACCTAATCTTGGTTCACGCCTGCTCGAAGTGGCCCGAGATTGCTCCGCTGAATCCAGCAACCGCATCTGCCACTATTGCCTTCCTACGACGCATCTTTAGCCAACATGGCTTACCGGAAGTCCTGGTTTCAGACAATGGCTCTCAGATTATTTCGTCGACATTTGCGGATTTCTGCTGCCAGCACAACATCCAGCATCTTCGCTCCCCGCCCTACCATTCTCAGTCTAACGGTCAGGCGGAGCGTTTTGTCGACACTTTTAAGAGAGCCCTTTTGAAAGCTCGTGGGGAGGGGACCACGGACGAGATAGTCCAGGCTTCCTGTCTTCCTATAGGACAACACCGAACCCGGCGTCCCCTGGTGGCGTTTCTCCTGCCGAAGCGTTGATGGGCCGAAAAGTGCGGACAACATTTCATGCACTCGTCCCTACCGGTGCGCAGCCCGCGCAGACTTCTCCAGTCTCTCGCAGCATGCTCTCCATCGGAACACCTGTCTTCTTTCGTGCTTATCGAGCGGGGTTCCCAGACTGGATTGAAGCAACCGTAGTAGCGCACAGAGGCAGTATGTTGTTGGACGTCGACGTTGGTGATGACATCTGGGTTCGCCACCACAACCAGATCCGACAGCCACACTGCAGTAACACAACTGGGCTCGAGTCGGCGCCGTCACTCTCCCTTGACATCCTACTGGATACCTTCGCCATTCCGGCAGATCAGTCGGTTCCCGAACCCACTTCTGCACCCCCTTCGGATATACCATCTTCGGTATCAGTTACCGCTCCCGTATCTCCAGGCAATAAACCACGACTAAGACGCCGGACCAACCGCGTGCGCCGATCAACACGGCTGATTCAGGTCAACCCATGCCAGAAGCGATACTGACCTACTTGGAGGGGAGGTGTTGGGAGCGCCTACACTCCCAAAAACAAGAGCCAGCCAATCACGGGAGGCCACGTGCGTTTTCTCTACTGCGCTGTCATCTTACTCGTGGCGCCTCTCCATTGGCTTTGCCTCTCGGGCCTGATCGATCTGCATATTCGAACTATCGACCGGCTCCTCTCGAATGTTCTTCCCGAAGAGCATTGGGCCGAACGCCGGCGAAGCACCGTAGGGCGTTATAAATACGCGTTACTTCCAGTTAATTTTGACTTGCAATTTCCTGATACACAGTTTCGCGGTCGGTCGCGTTCTCCTTCTCTGCCGCATTAGTAGTGGGGACAAGGGTCGAGTGCGCATACGCTCCGCAGGATTTCACGTACCAGGCGGGTCCTAATACTATCCCACTGTTACGAACGATCGAGGGTACGGAGATCTCAGATGACATGGAGAAGGCTGAATATCTCTCTTACTACTTCCGGTCCCCTTGATGAGTGAATCCAATTTTTTCCAATTTGCCGGTGAAGAGGAAGAAACGCCTCCCGTTGGAACAGACCCTTCAAAGAAGCAATCGTTCAAGGAGAGTTGCTAAGCCTAAAAAACTAAAACTCCCCAGTTTCTGATGTAATTCTGGCCAAGCTGATGAAGGAGGTAACTTCTAAAGTGACCAAACCGCTAGTCTTGATCTTCCAAATGTCACTTGCTGCGGGGTGTCTACCCTTTCTACCAGAAGTCCGCGACTATCCCTCAGCCATTAAAGAGTGGAAGTCAGGCGTCTGAGAATAACTGCAAGCCAGTGAACTTTATTTCCATTCTCCATAAAATCATGAGAAAAACCATTAATAAAGCGTTGAAGTAGTTCCCCGAGCAGCATTTCCTCCCCCCCCCCTCCCCACGATGTCCAGTATGGCCTTGTAAGTGGTAGGTCCTGTCTCACGAATCTACTCCTTTCATCCAAAGGCGACGAAGATAATGCGTTGCGCGCCTGTAGCGACTAAGCGGTGATGGTGCATGCTAAGTGCGCCACAATTTCAAGCCATATACCAAGTCGTATGAAGCGAGATGCCAGCTGGGAAGAAGATTATTTATCGATCCTGTATAGAATAAAGAAGGAAAGTTGGCAGTCAGACAAGAGTACACCTGGCTCCCGCGGCGTCCGCGAGAAGGACGAGTCGTGGGTCACCGAAGGTTGCCGCTGCAAAAGTGTCGTGACAGATTGTTTACGCAGTGATCTAGACTGTGTCCGCCTGTGTAACCAATTACCGAGAGGAGTCGCGCTGATAGGCTCCAAGCCCACGCGAGGGTAGTGACAAGCCTCGCATAGTGCAGGCAGCGAATCGACCAGATGCGTGGTGCAGACAGTGAATTGCGACGAGACAAATCGAAGCCAAGCAGGCGTGCGTGCCATGGCAGGCTGTCGCTAAGACGTGGGTGCAGACACTGGCGGGAGACGCGACGTCATTATGGCTGCTAACACGGCATCTACATCTACTTTAAAGAAGTCTTCTTCAGCGTTCCTCATCAACGTCCTTTGCACAGACTGTGCAACGCAGGAATTCGTGGAAGCTTCCTTGTCTGGGTCCATAGGCGTTTAACTTGACGATCTCAAACAGTGCAGATCGGGTGCTAACAGTCCACAGAGGTGATCTTGGTTAGTGGCGTCTAACAGGGCTCAGTCCCCGACCCCACGTTATTCTTTGTTGTCGTTAGCGAGCGCGTCAGGTACCTGGATTATGATATCATCATGTTAGCTGATCACCTTAAATTGTGAAGAGTTATTCACAATGCGGCAGGCGGAGACTATCTGTAAACAAACTTGAACAGGCTAGAAGCGCTGGCTTATGCCCTGCAATGTAAGTAAGCGCGATTTTCTTCAATTCGGCAGCTGCAGGCCCTCCAACTTCAGGACTTACTTTCTTTACGGTAGGTCGCCATAACGAGTTGATAGTTGAAAGACTTGGGTGTTTGGACTACGTCTCCACTCAAATCAACATTGAACTGCTCGAAGATGGTTAAGTCGGTCATGTCTACATTGCAACTCATTAGGCAAGTCTTTATGGGATTTTACAAAGTCAACTTTTTCAAATTATTTGACACCGTCATGCGGTCGCATCTATACTTCAATATACAGGCATGAAGACCTTGAACTATCAATGACTATGTCATCTTAGAGAAGACCAAGGGACGAGCGACAAAAATGACAAAAGGTCTGTGAGCACTGTCCTATAAAAACAGACTGACAACTCTCAACCTGTTTCACTTTTCCTAGCGGCAACTATGTGATGATTTTATGTCAACCTTCCGCATCATGAATGGCCTGGATTGCTGCTTTGACCTCTGTAATTTGTTCAATCAGGCAAACAAGCACATTTGGCGCGGTCATCCCCTAAAAGTGAACGCAGATAAAGCAAGGGTCAATGGACGAATGATTTTTTTCGTAACAGAGTGGTTTCAGCGTAGAACGCTCTGCCTACTGATGTCATACACTCCTCCTGTGCGGATTTATTTTTATTGTGGACTCGATACGTACCCAGTCTTTAAATTACCAGACACACAGGCACTCGCATAACCAGTCACCGAACGCACATGTGCCTGTATTACTCGCAGAGATTGGTCGTTCACATTTACCCTTTTTGACTATCAGGCAGATGCCCGCTTTACTGAGATAACTATGTAGACAGTATATCATTCAATTTTCACCTTTTCGACGCTTTTTCTTCAAAAATCTCTAACAAGTAGGGAGTTCGGTGACGTTCGCCTACTTTTCCCTTAATTTAACTATACTGCGAAAACTTTGTTAAGAGATGATGAGTCACTAAGTGTTCTCAAAGCATTCCGAATAGGGAAGAGTCAGTCAGCATCCGGTTCCAATTCCCGGCCTCAACCCCTAAAAGTCATTTTGGAGACTGAAGCACAGGCCCAGCTTCCGTTACAGAGAAAATCATCTTTACGGGGTCAGCAACCTGAAGTTTTTTTTCAGCCGGACTACGAGCCAAAAGAGCGAATGAAAATGAGAGAGCTGATGACGGAGCTAGAAAAGCGGAGAAACAGCGGCGAAACACACCTAAAAATCAAGAATGGACAAATAATTCAGGTCCAAAGGACATTTCTCTGGCCGAAGGCCGTCATTCTGACGGCCTAACCGATGCAAAGGTGCCAACTCCTGAGGCTGCTCGAACCAGTGGCCGCTGTCTAGAAATCTACTACACTAACTGTCAGAGTCTTCTCAACAAGCTAGATGAACTCAGATTATTAGTTTCTGAACAGAAGCCACACATAATTGTCCTAACAGAGACATGGTTGACTGAGGAAATTAGTAGTAGCGAAGTCAGAATTGAAGTCTACCAACTGTTCCGTTGTGACAGATTTCACCGTAGAGGTGGAGGCACAGCTATTTATGTGTCAGATGAAATTGCGTGCTGTCAACGAGAAATATCCGATGGTGCACCCCGAAATTTTGAAATAATTTCATGCAAGATATACATCAAACAATTACCGACACTGAACCTGCGTGTTGTCTATAGGCCTCCCAGCTCGAATGAAATCGCCGATATGGAATTACTTAGTGTACTGCAGTTGTTATGTAAGCAGGAGAACTTACTAATTCTGGGTGACTTCAACGCTCCAGGAATAGGCTGGAACATTCCCCTAACAAACGCCCCGTCCACGTCATTTGACCACAAGCTACTACAACTCTCCCTGAATGAATACCTCATTCAGCACATAAAATTCGGAACAAGAATGAGAGAAGGACAACGATCTAACTGTTTAGATCTCGTTTTCAGTAAAGAAGAAGGACTCATAAAGGAAGTTAATCCACAACCTCCACTCGGTTTAAGCGATCATATTGCTTTTACCTGCGTGTGCTCTCTCCTATCCAACCAACAACCAAAAATCAAGACGCGCAGAAATATTTGGAAGGGTGACTTTAACGCAATGAGACGCACTCTTTTGGAGGAAACCTGGTTGGTCAACACAGAAGATTCAGACGAATTTTGGCAATACTTTCGCGGGATTACAGAGCGTCTGATTGACTCCCATTGTCCAATAAAAATGACAAGACCATGTATGCGACCGCCGTGGGTCAATCCGACGACAAAAAAGACCATGAAGAAGAAACAGAGACTCTGGAAAAAGTATTTGCAACTTCGAGACCCAAGGTCACTCGCCGAATATAAAGATCAGTGCAATAAATGCCGCAAAGAAATACGGGTTGCTAGAACTTCTTTCGAGCGTCGACTGATAGCAGAATCCACTACATGTCCCAAGAAGTTTTACGGATACATCCGCAGTAGGAGGAAACATAGGGACGAAATTGCGTGTCTAAAGGATAGCCTCGGAAACTTATTAGTTGAAGGGTCACAGAAAGTGCGATTACTGTCTCATTTTTTTCAATCGGTTTTTACGGAGGAGTCCCTAGAAGACAATCAGCAGTTTGAAATGGACCGAGACAGCCGGGAGCTTCAAATGCGCCAAAATATTGCCGTCATTGAAACCGTCGCCTTTTTCGTG